CAACATGTGAAAACACTGGAAACGTGGATGATATACAACACGACAATCCAGTAAGAAATAGGGCCGTGACCAAGGCCCATGTTACTCAAAAACATGTTTCAATGAGTCATATTGGAAAATCGAAGGACTAAGACGAAAGTTCCAACTACCGTTTATTAATTTTCCGAAGACTTTTATATCATTTCATTGGTTGAAACATGGGCTAGTGAGGAAGATACTATCACCCTTTCTGGCTATGTCCAATATAGTCAAGTTAGCACTAAATCTGATCGTGCTATTCGGAATTCAGGAGGAATTTTAACATATATCAGTATAGAGATATCAAAATGTGTAACTCTATTTAACAGTTGCTGTACATAAATAATGTGGTTAAAGATACACATCCACTGCTCATTGCACGTTTCATATTATTATAATTAACGATGACCCCCACCTATCTACCAATTGATGAGGACATAAGCTACCAATCTGATGATGGGATTGAGCCACGTGTATCCCAGGACTGTGTAACCAACAAACGTGCACATCAGCTGTTGACTTTTTGTAATACTACAGGACGTAATTTGTAATGGTCGTTTGTTTAACGATAAGGGTATTGGCAAAATTACGTGCTTTACAAATAATGGACAAAGTATTGTAGACTATGATCTCTGTAAAGAAAATGCCTTTGAACTGTTTAACAGTTTTGATACTGATGATGAAGTGGAATCTTCACATCCTCCTACAGTTTACTCTCTCTGTTAACACTGAGCGTTCCAGCCCTGTCTGATGGAAATTGGGACAAAGTTAGTCTTGAAGATATCAATGTGTTCTACTCGTTGGTGGATAATGGTGAAATATCCCAAGCTTTGAATTTGTTTCTTACTTTGATACAGTCGTGTGCTGAGCATTGCAGGGGGCGGATACAGCTTTTTAGAAGTGGGGGTGGGGGTGGGGGTGGTGGGGTGGTGGAGTCGCCCACTCTTGAGAAAGGGTGCAAGGGGTTGCACACTTCGTTTTACGAGAGTTTCAATAGTAATTTAATAAACTTCTAGGACAAAAGTGAGGGTGCGCCCCCTGCACCCCACCCACCCCCCTCTCGATCCGCCTATGCATTGTAAAAAAGTTGTTTCTTCAGGTGCCAGGGGAGCTAACTGGTTTGATGGAGAATGCATTGGAGCTCGTTGTGAGGCTCGTCGTTTTCTTCGTGCATTTCATACAAGTAACAGTTTCAGTGATAGACAACGGTATATCGATGCGTGGAAGTCTTATAAGCAGCTTTGTTCATCAAAAATGTCTTGCCAGTTTCAAGAGTATGTTGAAACACCTAATAAAGCCTTGAGTACGAGGGATAATAAATAATTCTGGGCAATCATTAATCAGAAACGTTCTTTTAAACTGAACAAGATTAATGCTTCTGTGTGGGTTGACTACTTTAAAACGTTGTTTAGAGGTGTTTGCACGTCAAATGTTGAGGCAGAGTTTTATGAACTAGTTCAAACGTTTGTAGACTCTATCGATGTTGATTTCATTACCCCTACTGTAGATCAGGAATACACTGATAGGGAAATATCCATGCAGGAAGTTGTCGATGCCGTAGATGGTATGCAGTCTGGTAAAGCGCCGCCGGGGTTTAGTGGTATTAGCATAGAGTTCTTAAAAATGCTCCAATCAGTTGCTTCCAAATGTTGCATTTTTATTCAATGCCATACCATCTTCATACCCGTCAGCCTAGACTCTAGGTGTTGTTATTCCTCTACATAAAAAGGAATACACTTTTGGAAGTCTCAGGAAAGATATTTGGTAAAGTCATTAACAGCAGATTGTATGCATGGGCTGAGCAAGAAGAGTTTTTCACCCCAGAGCAAGCAGGTTTTAGACATGGTTTCCAAACAGCTGAGAGTATATTTATTTTTCATACAGATGTTAACAAATACTTATCTGTCTGTCTGTCTGTCAATATGCATACACATGTATTCTTTGTATGTAACAGATGAGACACACGTTAACAAATTCTCTCTCTTATATCATTGTGTGAGGTTTAAATTTACAAAACATCTATGACAATGACATACTGTAAAGAAGAATTTACTTTCATACTTTATAATCTTCGACGAAAATAGCGGTTTTGCCGATACATTTCTAGTGTTTACGAATTATTTTAATGAAAGTACTATAACGCTAGTCTGTGACTAGCACAAAGCACATTCATAGCATTGCACTTTATTTCATACAGATTTAATGCAGAAAACATACGTGAACATACAAACATACATATACAAAATGTATACTACATATTCCTTGCATAGACATAAAACAAGGAGTCACGTGATAGGGCGTCATCACATTTCCCGAATAGAACGTTCGGTATCTCAACTGTTCAATGCAGTGGCTGGTCATATGTTGTCTGCGACCAAACGTATCATGAGATACCTGTCACAGAGGAAAGGACAGGTGATGGGGCGTGGGCGAAATTTCTGAAGAGCACGTTTGGTCACTCAGCAGCTTGGATAGAGATTAGTTATTGGCTATATCCTTGACCAGTCGATATGCTGGGTTTCGGTTTTATCAACTCAAGCTATCATGTAACAGTTTGTGTATTGTAAACATACACACTGGTAACGATGTATGAAATATACACATAAGACAAATAGGAGTAGATAGTCACTTTGGCGAGTTTATTTGTCCTCATTTTAGTGTTTTTCGATAAGTAAAACAAAGCGATTGAAATCCAACCACTGAGTAGAGGTAGTATTTATTTTCATATACATTTTATGCACACAACTAGTACATAAAACATAATGGTTTGCTGTACATGTAAATATAATCTTCACCTTGATACGAATGGCTATCCAAACTAGAGTACACGCATTACAGAATTCACGAGGTGACACTATACTGAATTATTATAGTGTATAAACTTGCAGTTGACACCCCCACCCCCAATATTTATGAAGGTTGGCGTGCCTATATCTTTACTGAATGCAAACGAGGTTCATAAGATTACAGATGTGCATGCATGTATAAACATCACAGAGAGGGGCGTGACTCCATAAAGCAAGATGTCCAATGATATAACAGCGCATCTGTCACGGGACAAACTTGTCACGGGACAAACCTTTCAACAAGGACGTAACTACATATGCATTCTACCGGAGGCTGTTATTTCAAGGTCGAAAGAGGCGTTCAATTATCTCATTACTGTAATCTGCTTGAATGATTATACGCATGTGTATCGATACCGTAACTGATATACTATCCAGCTTTTATTGACGATGGATCAATAGAGACTGAGTTGATTGATACACGTGATAATTGCACCGGATTTGATAATTACACAGATCAAATACAAACGTTTTACAGAATGCTCATGTAAATTGCATAGAAAACTGACAATTCAAATCAACATGAAACTTTCAACAGCTTGAACAAAAATGCTTGAAATACCTTTGTATGGCTTACATGTAATAACTTACGATATTACTTCTGTCCATGTGTGACAATGTTTTGAATTACCAACTTACTGTCTTTTGTAACAAACGTAGTAAAACATTTCATTGTTGTAATAACACTGACATGTATATATGTATTGGATGCAAAGGCGCGACTTATCACTTTATATTCGCTTAGGTAACATTACGAACTTTAGATTATGGGAAACAACTAGTTACAATTCAGTAAACTTCAAATTAGTAAGTTCAATTATGTTTAATCTGTTCGAGCTTGGATGTATAATTACTTGTGTTCATACATTATGTTTCAGTATATGAAACATGACAACGTAATGATGCCTAAAAAGTAAATTCAAACTATTCTATTGTGTTTGAATTCTTTGTATGTCCTTGAAATTTCGTATATTGTTTCCTATTTATTAGGCAGTTGAAGGAAATATAATTTTTAGTAACCTCTAAACCATTACATCTAATTCAATCAAGGTGCATACGAAGTATTTTAGTATCCATTCCCAAGGAAGAGTACCAGACACATACCTCTGTAAAAACATCATAATCCCCTTTCTCGCCGACATGCGTCCATTTGCTAAACGCTGTACAAGCCTATGATAATGATTAGCAATTGTTATCAAATCACTTTAAATACTTCTTCTGATTGATACTAAAGGTGGGATCTCCCGTAAGAAAAGCTAACATTTGCTCAGTACTGCTAAATTGGTTGAAATAATAGGTACAGTGCGATTTTTAAAAGTACAACACACATGTGCGTCTCTCGCTGAATAAGAGGTGCTTTCTGTTGACGACTGTATGTGGCTCTCGCTGTGAGAAACTGCTTATTACCTGCCCCATAAACACGTCACTCGCTGTGAGGAGCTGATTAATTTGCCCCATATATGCGTCTCTCGGCCTTAATGAGTTAAGAGCATTAAGAAGAGATATTCCTGGCAGTTGAATAGTATGAAAAGTGTTTGCTCAGAGGGCACGTGGGTTGATGTACCCTCTATGACGGGAACACAAACAAACATAGAGGGTACATCAACCCACGCGCCCCGAGGGACCAGTGAACAACGTATTTATCTTACCGAACACCTCAATTTTAATTTTGAACTGTTTGAAGCACGGGTATCGAATCATAACAAGGAGTACCAGAGTTAGGCAATTAGCCAATACCGACGTCAGACGACAAGAAAAACAAATTTAGAGTTATCTCCTTTCCATCGATTTGCATTTCCAAAACATCGGTTATTTCCGTATATCATACGTCACTCAATTATTCGAGATAAAGAATTACTAACACGAAGTACCAAATTAATCCCCACAATTCGACATTCCCAAAGGGTAACAGAAAATGTTACTGGCTTGTAAGCGGGGCACATTGAAAATAATAGAAGAGCGCTTAGTTAATCAGAAAACAACCTTTCTGTTTGAGGTAAGATATTCTAATTTAACTACCATGAATCGGTGGTAGATATACAAATGTCAAGGTCATACCCCGAACAATGCAGCCATGTTGAGTGCGGTATAAAGTATACATTACACCAACGTTATTTGGTATAACACAAACCCATCCACATTTCAGTAATTTTATTTCAGTACGAAACAATTTATGCACGTTGTATTTTGTACATAACAGCACGGACAAGAATACTGTAAATAAATTGAATACAATAATTGTGATGAATGTTAGGACTTACTGGATTTCTATATCAGATAAAGAATAAATCTGTTTAAACAGAATTAGCAGAAAAAGTATCAATCCACTATATCAGATAAGAATAGATCTGTTTAAAACAGAATTAGCAGAAAAGGTATTAATCCACTATATCAGATAAAGAATAAATCTGTTAAAAACAGAATTAGCAGAACAAATATTAATCCACTATATCAGATAAAAGAAATCTAACATAAGTTAACATAAGTTGTATTTGGAATTACACTTTCTTAGTAAATACAAGAATAAATCTGTTTAAAACAGAATAAGCAGAAAAAAGTATTATCCTTCATATTTGGAAGGCTGTATTATTTTGCCTATGAATTAGAATGTATGTTTATGCATATGCATATGTCTACAGGTGGGGCCAGGTATCCGCTGCTCCCATGCTCACAATAGTGAAAAGTCCTGTTGTCTTCTTGTGGATCGACTGACTCTGAAACGGACAACATTTTGCCATGAGCGACCCTTACATATTTCATTAATGCAAACCAAGCAAAAGTCACCAGAGTATATTTTCATCAAATAATCGACACGACGAAAGCTTACAACATCTATGTACACCTTAAAATCTTAAACTATTATTGAGAACGTAAACCTTGGGGTTTAAAATCTTAAACTCGTAATGAAAAACATCAATCGTTTCAAAATAGGTCATGTGCAATGACTTGAGTGTAACACGTACTGCAGACGAGTTTCAGACTGATTGATTGTGATGTCATGCTAACCGATAACGTCACAATGGTCAACACGCAATCTGTCATTCCATTGTAGCAATACCTAATTGGAAATATCTTGATCTCACACTATTTGGTTGACTGAAAACAATGCTGCCAGGAATGCAATATGTTAGAACTTGCACCATGTATAATTTTGTTGCACATTTCTATAAACTTTATGTTTCTAGCTTCATTATCTGTATAAATACGTAAAGGAGACACCGACAGAAATATCAAAACCATGTGGTCACTTGTGGCTATTCCAGCTGTACAATGCGTGAGACTGACAGATAGCGGTAACCAGAAGTATTTGCTTTGTAGTGTAAGCCACAAGTCTACTGAATGCAAGCAACAATAATGGAATAAATACAATGGGGAGAGTTCTGTGGATATACAGCTGTTTTATTCTTGATGTGAGTGAGCTTTCATTGTAACTACAAAAACCGTTATCAAGCAATTGGATGTCATTTCATTGTAGCAATATCATCTTGGTGATAAATCTTGATCTCACACCATTTGGATGTTTAACGGTGTTAGTAGCTACACAGAAACGTCACTCATATTTATAATAAAAAAGTTGTATATCCATAGAACTCTCCTCGTTGTTCATCACAGACATTTTGAAATGCTACTCAAAGAAGTTAATAGTGGAATACCAGACGACCACACGGCTTGTATTAAAGCCTGAGGTGAAACAACAAACAATTTGTCAGCAACGTCATGAGGTTTACTTACAGAAAATCCACTTTCCTGTGGAGCCCCATCCAGTGGCGACGCTCACATATCTGATCTGTGTTACTGATTGGTCTATCCACGACAGGAAGGTACGTCTCCCGACCACTCTGCCAGAACCTACGGAGATCCTACTACCACTGAAGCTTATCCAGAATGGCTGGTGCTTGCTTCCAGAAAGCGGCATGTGGCGCACAGAAGCAAGATTTGGTCCTTGCTTCCTGTTTCTGATGACGGACTGGGTGTTTCGCCAGCCTCCTATGACGATTTCGAACATGCTGTGATCGTAGTTGTCTCTGTTGCTAAGCAACGCGATGTGAGCGTCATTAGTGGTCTTTACCCAGAAGGTGAAGGATGTTTGTCCGTTGAGTTGAAAACCGAGATTCTCGAGGGAATGGTAGTGGTAGTCGTCACCCGTTTCCAGACAAGCTGATGGAACGTTGGGCTCTGTAACATGACCATAGCAACATAAAACCTACTGGCGGCACCCATGCAGCAGGGAAAATAGGGTCAGGACATTTGTAGTGCTGTTATGTGCAATAGAACTTTTTAAATGATTTTAGTCAAACACAAATTCTACCCTTATTCAACAAGAAGTTAGGATGTACTGAGTGAGTTAACGTTTACGCTGCTTTTAGCAATATTCCAGCAAAATCACGGCGGGGGACACCAGATATGGGTTTCACACAAAAATTGCTTGTAGTTTACGAGTAGTTCACTTGTCTTCTTGGAGTTGCATTAGATACAATTGCTAGCTCTTCGTAAAAATGTGTGAGCGTCTACAATCAGCGTCTACCAATTGGTGAAGTACTGTAAGCTTTTACGCATAACTCGCTCAGCCACCTAGAGGCTACTAGTTTACTAATAACGGTCACGCCAAACTACTTACCAAACCTCCACACACCCGTTGACCCCCATCCAGTAGACACAGCGATGTACCTGACGGGGTGAGGGGAGGGGTCTCTCCACGACATGAACCTCCCAGCTCCAACAGCCGTGCCAGTTCCAACAGAGATCACACCGCTATCCCAAGAAATCCAGAAATCACGGAACCGAGTTGCACTCAGAGGTCGGTGGCGAGCTGTCACCCTGTTGTCATGCTGCATGCCTGTTCTGATCACTGATTGGGTGTTTCTCCATCCACCAATCACAATCTCGTATATGTACCGATCGGTTACTCCATCATCCTGTAGCAGGGCCACGTGAGCATCGTTTGACGCACGGACCTTGGAGAAAACAACTGACCTTCAACACCATTGCTATGTACAATATTTGTAATCATCTTTTTCCACCTGTAAATAACATTGAGTGAGTGAGTGAGTATGGGTTTACGCCGCCTTTAGCAATATTCCAGCAATATCGGTGCGGGGGAACCAGAAATGGGCTTCACACATTCTACTCATGTGGGGAATCAAACCCGCGTCGTCTGCGTCGTCTGTTCGAGAGGCGGAATCTTTAACCACTAGGCTACCCCATCGCCCTTAAATAACACTGACGCGCTGATCTCGGAAAACGATTCAAGGTTACAACTCCGAATTTACAGAACAAGTTTATGTTTTCAATATATTATCGTCTTATGATCACAATGAATGAAATAGTTAGACTTTCCTTTTATACAGGAATCCAAAATAATACGTATAAGCAAGCATGACGTCAGTTCCTGATTTACCTTGAACTTGAACGACGTGGCTCCAGGCGTTAACTCCACACCCTGCTGGTGAAGGGACTGGTAGTTGTACGTTGTGGTCGTAGCAAGTTCCACGTAGGCTGAAGCACAAGCAGTGCAGAACAAAAACGATTAGAAACGTAAACTCCTTTAATATTGTAGTTAAAGGAATTGCAGCTGTATGTGATACATGTCTATCTTATATGTTAAGCTCTTTACTGGATAAACTGTGTTGCATGTCATGAGTTAATGAAATAACCATGACCAGTCCCGTCACACTGGGAAGGTTGAGTGGAACCCACAAGCGCTGATATATCCCGATGCATCACAATACTCATGTAGCATAAAAACGAGTGTAATAAAGTACAACATCTCATACAGTCCCTTTGACTTTGTCCTGTTCCGAGGCGAGATTAGACACTCTATAACCCAGCAACAGTCAGGCGACACAGTGCATTGTTTTGCCAGTGCTTTTAAAAACTATTTTTTACAAATTACGTCAAAATGTATTATGACGTATTTGCAAAGTATGTAAATGTTGTAATGGAAACAACATTGGTGATGAATTTCATTATTTATTTGTTGGTTCACACTTTATAAATGCACGAGTTAAAATTTCATATGTAAAGCCATATATTTCTACCAGACAAAATTTTCATAAAATGTATACATTATTCAATAAGAATGAGATAGGTATTCTTAGAAAACTCGCTCTATTCTGTAATATCATTATAAATGTTTTTAAGAATTTCCGGGAATAATACTCCATCTAAATATTTCCATATGTATTATATATTGTAAAACATATGTAACCTGAGTTGAAAATATTTTTCAGTTCAGTTCTGGTGGTGAATTCTAAAGGCCGCCTCTCAATATTACAGGGGAATCACTGTGGGTAAGAAGGGTTATCTTAAATACTCACGCGGGCACCCGTCAGCCCCAGATGACAGCAGCACAGCAGCCACCAGCGTTGTCAACAGCTGCATGTTCCTCATCTTCCCTAGTTCTACAACAAGTACATGTTGTTGAGTGTCACGATCACTCATCTTCCCTAGTTCTACAACAAGTACATGTTGTTGAGTGTCATGATCACTCATCTTCCCTAGTTCTACAACAAGTCCATGTTGTTGAGTGTCACGATCACTCATCTTCCCTAGTTCTACAACAAGTACGTGTTGTTGAGTGTCATCGATCACTCATCTTCCTAGTTCTACAACAAGTACATGTTGTTGAGTGTCATGATCACTCATCTTCCCTAGTTCTACAACAAGTACGTGTTGTTGAGTGTCACGATCACTCATCTTCCCTAGTTCTACAACAAGTACGTGTTGTTGAGTGTCACGATCACTCATCTTCCCTAGTTCTACAACAAGTACGTGTTGTTGAGTGTCACGATCACTCATCTTCCCTAGTTCTACAACAAGTCCATGTTGTTGAGTGTCATGATCACTCATCTTCCCTAGTTCTACAACAAGTACATGTTGTTGAGTGTCATGATCACTCATCTTCCCTAGTTCTACAACAAGTACGTGTTGTTGAGTGTCACGATCACTCATCTTCCTAGTTCTACAACAAGTACGTGTTGTTGAGTGTCACGATCACTCATCTTCCCTAGTTCTACAACAAGTACATGTTGTTGAGTGTCATGATCACTCATCTTCCCTAGTTCTACAACAAGTCCATGTTGTTGAGTGTCATGATCACTCATCTTCCCTAGTTCTACAACAAGTCCATGTTGTTGAGTGTCATGATCACTCATCTTCCCTAGTTCTACAACAAGTATTGTGTTGTTGAGTGTCAAAGGTGATCCATGTTGATCACTCATCTTCCTAGTTCTACAACAAGTCCGTGTTGTTGAGTGTCACGATCACTCATCTTCCCTAGTTCTACAACAAGTACGTGTTGTTGAGTGTCACGATCACCCATCTTCCCTAGTTCTACAACAAGTACGTGTTGTTGAGTGTCACGATCACTCATCTTCAACCTAGTTCTACAACAAGTACAGTTCTGTTGTTGTTGAGTGTCATGATCACTCATCTTCCTAGTTCTACAACAAGTACGTGTTGTTGAGTGTCACGATCACTCATCTTCCCTAGTTCTACAACAAGTACATGTTGTTGAGTGTCACGATCACTCATCTTCCCTAGTTCTACAACAAGTACATGTTGTTGAGTGTCACGATCACTCATCTTCCCTAGTTCTACAACAAGTACGTGTTGTTGAGTGTCATGATCACTCATCTTCCTAGTTCTACAACAAGTGAGTACATGTTGTTGAGTGTCACGATCACTCATCTTCCCTAGTTCTACAACAAGTACATGTTGTTGAGTGTCATGTTGTTGAGTGTCACGATCACTCATCTTCCCTAGTTCTACAACAAGTACGTGTTGTTGAGTGTCATGATCACTCATCTTCCCTAGTTCTACAACAAGTACATGTTGTTGAGTGTCATGATCACTCATCTTCCCTAGTTCTACAACAAGTACGTGTTGTTGAGTGTCATGATCACTCATCTTCCTAGTTCTACAACAAGTACATGTTGTTGAGTGTCATGATCACTCATCTTCCCTAGTTCTACAACAAGTACGTGTTGTTGAGTGTCATGATCACTCATCTAACCCTAGTTCTACAACAAGTACGTGTTGTTGAGTGTCATGATCACTCATCTTCCCTAGTTCTACAACAAAGTACGTGTTGTTGAGTGTCATGATCACTCATCTTCCCTAGTTCTACAACAAGTACATGTTGTTGAGTGTCATGTCATGATCACTCATCTTCCTAGTTCTACAACAAGTACATGTTGTTGAGTGTCATGATCACTCATCTTCCCTAGTTCTACAACAAGTCCATGTTGTTGAGTGTCATGATCACTCATCTTCCCTAGTTCTACAACAAGTCCATGTTGTTGAGTGTCATGATCACTCATCTTCCCTAGTTCTACAACAAGTACGTGTTGTTGAGTGTCACGATCACTCATCTTCCCTAGTTCTACAACAAGTACGTGTTGTTGAGTGTCATGATCACTCATCTTCCCTAGTTCTACAACAAGTACGTGTTGTTGAGTGTCATGATCACTCATCTTCCCTAGTTCTACAACAAGTACGTGTTGTTGAGTGTCATGATCACTCATCTTCCCTAGTTCTACAACAAGTACGTGTTGTTGAGTGTCATGATCACTCATCTTCCCTAGTTCTACAACAACAATGTTGTTGAGTGTCATGATCACATGTTCTGTACATGTTGTTGAGTGTCACGATCACTCATCTTCCCTAGTTCTACAACAAGTACATGTTGTTGAGTGTCATGATCACTCATCTTCCTAGTTCTACAACAAGTACATGTTGTTGAGTGTCATGATCACTCATCTTCCCTAGTTCTACAACAAGTACATGTTGTTGAGTGTCATG